AATCATCTACCTTTGTCATCTACATTATGAAAAAAAAGACTAGAATAGAATAATAGTAAAAAGAATAGTATTTATTTTTAGTTCATTACTCTGAAAGAATTTGATGGCAGAAATTACCCACACTAAACAGATGTGCAGCAGTCGTGATGGTTCGCGGCTAAATATCCCGATATGTGGAGGTATAATGACGTTTGGTTGTTTCACTGTTTGCCTGGAGTGAGGAGTGGGCTTTTTTGAAAGTCGTGTTACTGGTGTTCTCTCACACTCCTGAAACAGGATGTCTCTCACATGTTAGCAGATAGTGGTAAATGGAAACCCAGAGTGGAGCTAAAATGTTTGGAATACTCTCAATTAGGCCTGATAAGATCATGAATTTGTGTTGACGATTAATTGTCATTCAAATAGTTGAGATTAACGATTTAATTGTGTTTTGTTGATGTCACTTAGAGTGTAAGCCTAATATATTATATTTATATATTAGGCTACCTGGAATCATTTAATTAAAAAGGCTCATATTAACTTCTTAACTGCAGTGAAAATTTATATTTTAAAAGTTTTTTATTCTCTTTTTGTTCAACTTTAATCTTCTCGGGCCTCTTTATATTTAAACTGTAGCCCAGCAAAACTGTATATAATAAATATAATATAATATAATTTAATATAATATGTTTTACAGCAATGTTTTTTATATATATTCTTCATTCTGTCTCCACAGAAATAAAATAAGCAACTCATCTCCTCACCCAGTGATGACATGTCATTAAAAACTGTAAGAACCAAGAATGTTTGGCATTACGCGAATTATTTAATTCCTTGACCTGCTTAAAGGTGGGGTAAGCGATTTTTCAAAAATGCTTTAGAAAACTGATTCGGGCCGAATAGCAAAACAAACTTGTTTGTAGCCAATATCTTTATTTTTTTTCTGTGGTGCATTGCCACTCTCTCGGACCAGGCTCTCATTGGACGCCTCGCTGGGGTCCTCGCCACCGCCCTTAGAGACAACCACTTCCAGGCCGGAGCTGTGAAGAGTCTGGAGCGGCTGGGTCTCAGAGTCATGCTCTGCTAGGTTGCGTCGTGACGCTGCCAGGCTGCCCAGTGGCCTTACCACTCCTCCATTGTACTTGCAGCTGTTCATGGCTATCTGAGGGAGTGAGTGACTGCTCTCGGAGACGGAGGGCTTGGATCCAGCATGGCTCAGCTTTGCACGCTCAGCATGTACCTGTCAGCAAAAATCAAATACAGACAAACAGGTGTCAGCAGCATATACACTGAAACCCAGCATTAATCTACTCTGTTGGCACTGCTCCATGACCAGAGTGTCCCATGGCACATTTCATCAGAAGACCTACTGCAGCATCTTCACACCACAGTGTATTGTAATGACTAAATCTTAATTGTACAGTAAACTAATTGATGAATAAAGTTGACGATTAATTGTCATTCAAATAGTTGAGATTAACGATTTAATTGTGTTTTGTTGATGTCACTTAGAGTGTAAGCCTAATATATTATATTTATATATTAGGCTACCTGGAATCATTTAATTAAAAAGGCTCATATTAACTTCTTAACTGCAGTGAAAATTTATATTTTAAAAGTTTTTTATTCTCTTTTTGTTCAACTTTAATCTTCTCGGGCCTCTTTATATTTAAACTGTAGCCCAGCAAAACTGTATATAATAAATATAATATAATATAATTTAATATAATATGTTTTACAGCAATGTTTTTTATATATATTCTTCATTCTGTCTCCACAGAAATAAAATAAGCAACTCATCTCCTCACCCAGTGATGACATGTCATTAAAAACTGTAAGAACCAAGAATGTTTGGCATTACGCGAATTATTTAATTCCTTGACCTGCTTAAAGGTGGGGTAAGCGATTTTTCAAAAATGCTTTAGAAAACTGATTCGGGCCGAATAGCAAAACAAACTTGTTGCCAATCAGCAGTAAGGGGCGTGTCTACTCATGATGTGGAGGAGAGAGTGTTCAGTCCGAACTGAGCGACAGAAAGATAGAGAAAACACTCGCGTCCGGTGTAGACACGGTGTAACATTGGTTTTGCTTTGTTTCACAGAACTAATCGTTGCCTGGGTTGCGTACGTATGTGTGGGGCAGAGCTATCAAAACAGGGGCGAGACCCTTTTGGGGTAGGGGCGTGTTTGTTTTGGTGATTTCAAATGTCAACATTGGCTACCAGAAATCGCTTACCCCACCTTTAAATTTCCTTGAAATAGAAACTAGAAAATGATCAAAATCTAAAATAATTGCAATTACGTTAAATAGCTGCAAACAGATGAGTAACCAATAATTGCGACAGGCCTATTCTCACTACTTCTTGTTTATAGAAGCAATATTAGGGCTGCACTGATATCAAAATTCTGACCAATACTTATAATTATTTTAATATTATGACAGATAATTGATATATGGCTGATATTAAAAGTGATCAATAAAAAATAAAAGCAATAGTTTGAAATTCTACAAGTGATTTTAGGCATCATAACATCATAATTTAAGGCAAAAAATAAAGATCGCATTACATTTTTAAAGGTAAACATTGAGTGAGTTAGATGATGGTAAAGGTAATCTAAATGTAACAGTAGAGGAAATGAGCACAAACAATTAAATATCCAGTATTGGTTGTTATTGATAATCAATAATAATAATGATAATAAATACAATTCTCAATGATCATGTACTGAACACCAGTGACACAGGTAATTATCACAAATATTAGGGGTTACAACATAACATAGTTTTGTAATCCATTTATTGCATTGTTTTTGACGTGCACGGCAAAATCTACCTTTAGCAGAAGTTTTATAACAAATTACTGACTATGACAAATGTGTGTTAGCTGTCAGCCACACCTCATATTTGCATGGGGTAATCACAACCCAATCTACTTACAAAGAAGCTATTCATTAGTGCTACTTTTCTATCTGTTTAAATGGCTTTTGAGGAAATGCTGCAAATTCTAAACTCAGTCCACACTGAAAACATTATGCATGTAATTTTGATCAAATATATAGAATGTACAAGTATGCCGTTTACACATACTCTGATTACAACCAGTTAGACTGACAAAGAATGCAAAACGTAACATCATAGACACACAGTTACCCTGGCTAGACAAAGTGGCTTTCTAGTCTAACAACTTGGTCTTACATACAGCTACCATTTCATATCACTTCTTTCCTGGATGTTCTGAACTTAATACAACACCATATTCCAAATAGTACATCATCAGCTAATGCAAGTTTGAGTGTGTCAAATTTTTAATGTCACTACTATTAATAGTAGGCTCTGAACACAGAAGAGGCCACTTTGAAATTGATGGTATTAAAATCCCTGCAACCGCTGCACCAATAGTGACAGAAGAATATGCCAACAGAATCATCTACCTTTGTATGAAAGCTACAATACAAAAACACATCACTAGTAGGCACATCAACAAAAAGGATAAATTAATCACTGAATCTACTTAAGAAAAGCGAGTAAACATAACTGATTTTTACAAATGTGTTGAATTTAATTAATTACACTGTGTTATGTGAACTTTCAGGTGGATGCAATAGTTAAACTAAACAACTTTAGTAAACAGTACTTAAGAGCATCTAGTTTGTTTGGTTTAAACAGAACATCACCAGCAGAAGACAACGAACTGAACTGCAGAGTCAGATCATGTTGGAAAGATTAGATACGTTTTTGGTGATCTACTTATAAACTATATTTTCAAAGTGTGTGCTATCGTTTTTGAGGAAAAGAAATGGCAGATTTTATTAGTTTTTACTGACGAGCATTACTGTAACTGTCAGTTAGCATACTAGCTAGCCAGTGGCTTACAAGCTAGATTACAAACATCCATCTTCCTCTTTACTGCTAGTTATAACATGAAATAAACGTGAGTAAGCATCATAAAGTATGTTGAACGATACAGTACAACTTAATGAAATTTATCATGTCTTATGTAATCCGTTTTTCAGTATTTAATGTTTGAACAAATTTCATGAAAACAAGTTTTTATCACAACCACCGTTTAAATGTTTATAAATCAGAAAATTATTTGGAGTAGAAACTTCATTTAAAATAGTTTTTAAACGTGCGTCAATGTCCAGCACTAATTATTACCATTTTCTTGTCATATTCTATGTGCTCTTTTTTGGGGACTTGTTTCCACATAGTATATGCTTATTCACATAGGTGCGCTTAATGAAAAATCATACTTTGCAGTTTTGTGAAACCCTGCACAGAATAAGTAGATATTCATTATATTTTATGCTGAATGCTTGTGCTTTGA